CCCAGGACGACAGAATCGCCTAGCTCTTCGTCTTGTTGAGCCAGCCGCGCACCTGACGCAGGGATTAGAACGTAAATTACACCGGGCACACGAAATCGACATCGCGTGATCGATGGGGACATTCGATAGGCTGGTGAATCTGTACCGAAAAAATGCTGTTTTCAAGTACGCGAGAGAATGTCGATACTTTAACCAGAAGGCTTGCAAGCCGGTGCTTGAGAGGGCTCTTAATTCTAGAGGATACTTATGGGCCCGATAGAATCAATAGATACGCTGCACAATGGGTGATCGCATCTCACAGCTGGCGGAAAGTCAAAATTTTATCTTCGTTCGAAACGAACTTTCTTCTCTATCTTAGCCTTATGAATTTCTTCCTGTGAATGCTGGATGATCACGACTTCGATGTGGTAATTTAAAAATACTGGATAATTATTGTCTGTTTCTTGTAAACTCATTTGCATCGGCAAGCGGAATACAGTAAATTCTCCCTACTTGATCCTCAGCTTGTACGCAAAAATGAACAATTTGGGAAGAGAAGATGCGATTATTCGAGTCTTGCGGCTTGTTTTTATATTTACCGATTGTTAACAACTATAAAAACGCGCCACAATGCTCGAATAATCCTCTTCCCTTTTCCATTTCTGCGCACAAGCCGAGGGTCAATTAGAGAGAATTTACTGTAATCCGCGCGCAGTGATTGTCAACTATCGCCAATTACTTAACTACTTTTAAGATTAGATACTAGATTAATTAACTATCTCACCACGTTGAATATACGCTTCTCGAACTGTATAACAATGAAATCATAAACAAGTGCACATCACGCAAATTATTCTGCAATTGATGATAGTTGACAATCGTTTGCGGATTATTGAGCTTGCGGATACAAATGGATTCATAACAGAAGAGTCTATTTATTCTGGAGACATTAAATGATTCTCCACATGTCGATCGAGATCTTCAGAAACATTTCCAATTACTTGTTTTTGTATTTAATTCTTCAGTATCTAATCCGGTTGCTGCCCAAGTTTCATAAAAATCAACTCGACCCTTTCCCTGTACTCTGGTACAAGTATGCGAGTTGTATCAAAATTAGACCGATCGATCCTTTCGCAGACAAATCCTTCGTCTGCTCCAGGTCTGAAGCCTAGGATTATACCTCCTATGTAGCAGTCTAAATGCTGTCGTTAGAAGACAGAAAGAGAGAAAGCATCGACTAGATGCTTTTAAAGGGCAAAATGAAAATTCATCCAGAATCAGTGAGTCTTGGGAGACAATGTAAGATGATTTGCGAGCAACGGTCATTAACGTATCTCTAAACAGTGTTTCATTTACTGACAGACTTCATCCAAGTTTATCAGCTAGGAAGATGTGAGACACACTACTTTAACCCTTTATCCTACAATATCGTGTAAGACTCGTAGTAAGAGATTCGAGACGAACCCAAAAACCTCGAGTAAGAACCGTCGTACTTTATTAACCGCTTCGCTCTTGCTGCATATTAGGTCGCGACACCGATACTGTTCGTATAAGGTCACAGATAAGATATTTCGTGACGTAATTCCGCTTTTGTGATACTACGGACGTGTTATCCCGCGACGCAATACGATTTTTGCGATGCCACAGACGTGTTATTCCACAACGTAATACCGTTCGTGCGGTACCACACACGTGTATCCCGCGACACGATACCGTTCGTGCGGTACCACAGACGTGTTATCACGCGACACAATAGCGTACGTGCGGTGCCATACACGTGTTATCCCACGACACAATACCGTATGTGCGGTACCACAGACGTGTTATTCCGCGACGCAATACCGTTCGTGCGGTGCCGCAGACGAGTAAACACGCTTTAATTCGAGAGCAAGAACAGCGTGTGTTTACACGTCTGCGGCACCGCACGAACGGTATTGTGTCGCGGGATAACACGTCTGTGTTACCGCACAAACGGTATTGCGTCACGGGATAACTTGTCCGTGGCACCGCACAAGCGGTCTTACGTCGCGGTCTTAGATTGTCGTCTGTGATGTATCTATATATGAGCCGTTTATTTTGAAAGTGGCATAAGTCACTTTACCGTAATGAAAAGTGGTGATTTTAATGTTTATACGAAATTATTTATACCGAGAAAAATATCAGTATCCTGAGATAACAAATACAAGTAAATCTTCTCGAAAGTTAGCATCCATATTTTTAAACGTGTTAAAAAAACGCAAACCCTTAAATATATCGACTTAAAAACAAAGTGACTTATGCCACTTTCAAAATAAACGGCTCATATATCTCTTGTACGAACTGTATCGGTGTCGCGACAAAACACGCCGACGTGAGCGAAGCGGTTAATTAATACAAACATTGTAAACATGGGTCGTATTCGTAGTATATTTAGGACTCTACCTGTAAGAAGAATTATGTACCTGTGCCAACGCCTAAGCGACTTTGTTATTAATTGGGGTACACGCCGTCCCCAGTTAAATCGTAGGTCAGGCCAGGGCGAGTCATTTCGCCGCGAGCCACAAGCTCCACTACTACTACTCCATGCATATTGCTACATATAAAATGGGCAATCCCGCGTGGAGNTAATTAACTATCTCACCACGTTGAATATACGCTTCTCGAACTGTATAACAATGAAATCATAAACAAGTGCACATCACGCAAATTATTCTGCAATTGATGATAGTTGACAATCGTTTGCGGATTATTGAGCTTGCGGATACAAATGGATTCATAACAGAAGAGTCTATTTATTCTGGAGACATTAAATGATTCTCCACATGTCGATCGAGATCTTCAGAAACATTTCCAATTACTTGTTTTTGTATTTAATTCTTCAGTATCTAATCCGGTTGCTGCCCAAGTTTCATAAAAATCAACTCGACCCTTTCCCTGTACTCTGGTACAAGTATGCGAGTTGTATCAAAATTAGACCGATCGATCCTTTCGCAGACAAATCCTTCGTCTGCTCCAGGTCTGAAGCCTAGGATTATACCTCCTATGTAGCAGTCTAAATGCTGTCGTTAGAAGACAGAAAGAGAGAAAGCATCGACTAGATGCTTTTAAAGGGCAAAATGAAAATTCATCCAGAATCAGTGAGTCTTGGGAGACAATGTAAGATGATTTGCGAGCAACGGTCATTAACGTATCTCTAAACAGTGTTTCATTTACTGACAGACTTCATCCAAGTTTATCAGCTAGGAAGATGTGAGACACACTACTTTAACCCTTTATCCTACAATATCGTGTAAGACTCGTAGTAAGAGATTCGAGACGAACCCAAAAACCTCGAGTAAGAACCGTCGTACTTTATTAACCGCTTCGCTCTTGCTGCATATTAGGTCGCGACACCGATACTGTTCGTATAAGGTCACAGATAAGATATTTCGTGACGTAATTCCGCTTTTGTGATACTACGGACGTGTTATCCCGCGACGCAATACGATTTTTGCGATGCCACAGACGTGTTATTCCACAACGTAATACCGTTCGTGCGGTACCACACACGTGTATCCCGCGACACGATACCGTTCGTGCGGTACCACAGACGTGTTATCACGCGACACAATAGCGTACGTGCGGTGCCATACACGTGTTATCCCACGACACAATACCGTATGTGCGGTACCACAGACGTGTTATTCCGCGACGCAATACCGTTCGTGCGGTGCCGCAGACGAGTAAACACGCTTTAATTCGAGAGCAAGAACAGCGTGTGTTTACACGTCTGCGGCACCGCACGAACGGTATTGTGTCGCGGGATAACACGTCTGTGTTACCGCACAAACGGTATTGCGTCACGGGATAACTTGTCCGTGGCACCGCACAAGCGGTCTTACGTCGCGGTCTTAGATTGTCGTCTGTGATGTATCTATATATGAGCCGTTTATTTTGAAAGTGGCATAAGTCACTTTACCGTAATGAAAAGTGGTGATTTTAATGTTTATACGAAATTATTTATACCGAGAAAAATATCAGTATCCTGAGATAACAAATACAAGTAAATCTTCTCGAAAGTTAGCATCCATATTTTTAAACGTGTTAAAAAAACGCAAACCCTTAAATATATCGACTTAAAAACAAAGTGACTTATGCCACTTTCAAAATAAACGGCTCATATATCTCTTGTACGAACTGTATCGGTGTCGCGACAAAACACGCCGACGTGAGCGAAGCGGTTAATTAATACAAACATTGTAAACATGGGTCGTATTCGTAGTATATTTAGGACTCTACCTGTAAGAAGAATTATGTACCTGTGCCAACGCCTAAGCGACTTTGTTATTAATTGGGGTACACGCCGTCCCCAGTTAAATCGTAGGTCAGGCCAGGGCGAGTCATTTCGCCGCGAGCCACAAGCTCCACTACTACTACTCCATGCATATTGCTACATATAAAATGGGCAATCCCGCGTGGAGCACAGAAGAAACAATGTCATATCGTTTCTCGTATAGCGTCAGTGTATGAAGGATATCATGAACCGCGCCTCGCCCAGGCCTGTCGTAGGTTAAGGAATTAACCCTTTGCGGTCCACGATGCTTTCTCCCGACTGGTTCAAAATTTGCTGAAGCATTTTACAATTGAATCATACCCTCATATATGACTTAACAACTTATTTAGAACAGTTCGAGTAATACTAAAATTATTTGTATCAAGTAATTGCGTCACTAGTTACATACATAACGTAATTCAGCGAAATAAGTAATTATTAATGGCTAATTTCGAGCGGTTAAGTCTGGCACATCGTAAGACCGTGAAGAGTTAATGTGGAAAAAAGGTCACCTCGAGGTTCATGGTTGATCGATATCCGACCCTATCCAAGATAACCTCTGACTTTCTTAATTTCCTTGTGCACCGTTCCGGGGATCCCCGCAAATGTAAAACAATTTGAAATCGATGCACTGACTAATCTGATAAAAAAAAACAAAAAAATCAATCTCAGTAGGAAGACTTGTGGGAAGAACGACTTGAGAATCTAACCGAAAATTGTGTGTTCTCAGAAGGGACCAGCCGAAGATACGGAAGTACCGTGAGACGACGACACGGAGCCGGGAAGAGCGGCGTCATTCCCGAAGGGGGGCAGGCGGCAGGGTAGCAGAAGAAGGGGGTCGGCTCGTCCGCGAGCCAGCAAGTGGAAGAAGAGGAGAAAAAACCGGGGGTTGTTAGAGCGGACGAAGAAGAGGAAGAAGAAGGCGGCGGGAGGTGGTCCTTGATATCCGTCGGTGGAGGATCGATCGGGAGGAGGGAATCCGGCACAGATTTCGGACACAGCGAAAGAGAGACAGCTAGACAGAGGAGTCAAGGAGCAAGTGAAAGAAGAGGAAACGTCTCGGAACTGAATCTGGTGTGTCGCGGGGGTGCGGGGCCGACGAAGCCTTGTCAACCAACTGAGGATTAGATGGTGGAGGTGCTCGAGAGACAGGCTAGGGAGCCTACGGGGCCGATCGAGGCACCTCGCACCTTTGCAGGGCCAGGAGGCAGCAGCAGCCCTGCCGATCGCTGGCAGCGAGTGCATCGAGTGCAGCGAGTGCAACGGTGGCTGAATCGCGATCCCCTGGAGCATGATCTCTTAGCCGGTGGCTGCGAAGGCTGCGAAGGCTGCGAAGGCTGCGAAGACGGTCCGCTCGTTGCTCAAACCGATCGTCGTGGTTGTTGCGAGTCGCCGCGGGGCCTGGCACAGGTGACCGGCGTTCAGGTGACAGGTGTAAAGGTGATCGGTGTACAGGTGGACATTTCGGTGATCGGATTTCGGTACTGCGCGGAGGACACTGCTCGCGTGGCCGCCGCGACGCCCGAGATCGACCCTCCACGAAACCGAAGAGGAGACGAGGCGGTGCAGGTCGTCGAGATTGAGGCACCGAGGACCGAGATCCAGCCGCCCGTGGATCAAAGTCCAGAACAGCCGCGAAGGGAGCCAAGAAGCGATCAGTTCGCGAGCAGCGAGCAATCGAGCGGCCAGTCGCCGAGAAACGTTGTGCTCGGAGCGGTCGTGCTTCCGGGTAGATTAAAGGATCTGTTGGAGCCCAGGAAGGGCTCCCGAGAAACGAGCGAGACTGGCGAGCGCAATGTGGCAGAGCGGCGGCATGGGCGCCCATGCGGCCAACAATCCATGGATGAAGTTGATGGGCATCGTCCACAAGGAGAGGAGGCACCACGACTCGGGATCCGCCGCTGCCGCCGCCTCTGGGGTTCAGGGATCTGCGACCACCGGCAGCAACGATCGGACCCTCAATCAGTGAGTCGAAACGCTTCTTTTCTACATTCTTTCCTCTTTTCGCGACTTTACAGGAAATTTCGGATTACTGCGACATCGAGCTTTTCGGGTCTCGTGTACACCGATAGACACGCGGTGTGCGAATAAATTGCCCCGGTTCTTAATCTCTTTGATTTGCGACCGTGTGTAATTTATGATACGCCATGTCATGAATAGGACTGGCATTTACATCGTGCTGTACCACACGTTGTAAACCACTTTATGCCGCAAGTGTCAGGAACCGCAAGTATGTCGTAACAGTTATACGAGCGACAAACAACTCTGGAACTCGATCTGTTTGGTTATGAACCTTTCAGGCTGAGACGAGGCATAATTCTTTCAGCATAGGATTCTGTTATATCGTGTTACATACTGATATGGAACAGGACGAGTAGAGTTTGCATGTACATGTCATACGTTGGACACCAATTAGTCCCACAAGAATCTGGAAGTTCAATCTGTAATTCTTCTGATTGGGAGAAGATGTGGAAAACCTTGCAGCACTACTGGTTCAGCCCAAACGCGGATAATAAATTGGATATACGAAATAAATATTGTCATATTTGGTAAAGATTTATAAGGAATTTCTTTATCCGATTTGAAGATCTGTGATCAAGTAAAACAGATAGTTCCATCGAGTTAAGATTCGTCGGGCAACGGTTAATCCGTCAATCGCAGAATCAAGATAGAAACGCCGTAGTAAACATAGTAGTTGTGGAAAGTGTATAGGTCGAAACAAAGAAGCAATTGTTTCTTGATAATTATACGGTAGAAACGCGATTTGGATATGTTCGGAAAGCATTCGCAAACTGGAAGCAACCGGCCAGGTAGTTGACGCAGTTTGCCCCGAACGCTGGTTTATTAGGGAGTAATTTCGTGATAGCAGCTGCACAGCTGATTAGGATTATACATAGAGCTTACCCGGTGAGAAGGTTAATGGAAAACATCGCCAAGGGAATTCACCGTCGCGGAACGTTTTCAGTGTTTCCCTGCCTCCATGTTTTTCATGGTCTCTGGTGGGGACAGTGCACAGTCTGTCGCGGTAACACGATAAATTGTGTGCAATTACAGCACAAGGAGCCGCAATGAGATCAGGCCTTGCTACCCCGGCCGGCCTAAATGCTTGCATCTCGATTTATTCGCGTTGCTCAAAGCGAATCCGCGGTTCTAACAAAACTACAGCTGCAACTTGGGAGTTCGCCGGTTCGAAACTGACGAAACTCGATTCTCCTGTCTGGGAAACAGTTGCACGAAAAATCACACATCAATCCACTAGACCGCGTTCCATTTATAATTTCGAAGAAATTAGATCCTAGATTTGCTTCTGCTCATTCAATTTTCATTTCGCTCTAAAATTGGTTTATTAACATTTGTAAGTGGAGCCGGTTACTCTTAGGTGACCAGTTGCTGTGCCTTTGGCTTTTTATTAGGCACAGTCAACTTTATATTTATCGAATAAGACGTATTCAATTTTTTTATTAGAAAATACACAAAATAAAAGAATACGAAATTCTTTCATTAGAAACTAAACAAAATGAATAGAATATACAAATTTTATATATTTACTTACATAAATATAAAGTTAATTATACCCGAAAACAAACCAACAGTAATCGACTCCACTACCCCAGCTACCGAATGAAAAATTTGTTGGTGATGTTTAGGAAGAAAATGATCGGGAAACACCGTTTCACAGTATTTAGACAGAAGGAAAATTAGTGAATTCTTGTTGAAATATCTATTGAAAAGCGCACGGCTGTCGATGATCGATCTTTCAGCTCCGAACAACGGATGGTCCGTAACAAACATGACGGACGAATGCAGAGCCATTTTGGCTGACGATAAAATTCCAACCTTGGCGACTTCCTCGAAGGGCTTTTAATTGCTCATGAAATTTTACGTTTCCTTTAACCGCGCACATGGTATTTACATACAATTGCGTAGATGAAATGAGATGATCCCGTTTCTATTAACCCAAGTGTTTCCTCGAGAATAGCCAATGTTCTCTGTTAATTAGTATCGCGTTCGGACGCGGCTGAGATGATACACGTCACCATGGCGAGGGTTGCAAATGCTGGACTCGGATCTTCCGACAAAGCGGTACACCGAACGATTCGAAGTTCGATGGACTTCGGTTAACGAACGCATACATTTTACAGTAACCAACGAACTGCTAACAAATTTTTAAACAAGAAATATTAACGCACAATTATGATTTGCGAAATTTGAAACTCCGGAGTCTAGGTTATCGAAGGTTTGATACGGTTAAGACGATTCGTGAGACGTTCGAAGAATAAATCAAGGCTAACTTGGTTCGATTGACTATCAAAGTTAAACAATTAGATGGTTCTCAACGGTACACGGACAAAATTTCATCATAGTACACACGCAGTAGCGTGTCAATTTTATTTAAATCGATTAAACGTGATCGAAACCGATTAAATTACAGAAGAGACATTTCTCGCGGCATTGCAGCTAGTAAAGCCAATCAAGTATTAGGTCGTAGCTTGTAGGGTATATTGTCAACAACCTCTCGAGCACTTTATTAATCGTAGAAGGTTAATTAAGACTAGGACCATTCACAGTTTGCGTATTGGTCGCAATGTTCAGTCAGTATTGGACTGCCGGCCGGTATACTAATCGCTAGCCTGTGTACACTCGAGACAGTGTCTCGATGTTTGACGCAAATGTGTGTATACGACGCTCCCGAGAGAGTTAGGAGCGGTTTGATGGCTGATTTCCGAACCGAACTGACGTTTACGAGCTCACGTTTCTCGGAGAAATTGAACTAGACAGTTCGTTTCTCTGGGTTCGGTTGGCGGGATCTACTTTGACCGTCGTAGCCGGACAATTTGGGTCTTGCTAGGAAATAATTCCTTTTAACTCTCTATTTTCGAGGCGGAAACTCCGTCGATTTACTTAAATCAATAATCAGTTCAATCAAAAAGTGGGCTTTTCGACTATACAATGCATAGGAACAAAGCTTTCGTGATCATCAATTAATATATTGTCTAGAATCTGTGGATCGTATTGAAATAAATAATTGGGAATGTAATTTGCAACTTTCTCCAGCAGCCTAACTGCTCAGAGTGCAGAAGGTTGTACAGAGATTAGACAATAGAGAAATAAAAATTTGGCAACCGAGGGTGGAATATCGGTACGTATCCATGAAAATGAAGAAAATTAGATAATTTTCTGAACGCAAGCAATCCTCGTAAGAAGATGCTAAATAAATATATAATAATAAATACAGAATAATAAACCAGGAACGTCACCGAAGGAGTGACGGAGAGCTTGTAGATCAGGATCGACAGAAGCAACGGAAACACTCTCGGAAAGCGATTCTGCGAATATCGCCGAGGTGCGACACGGTATATGGAAATCATATCGATTAACAATCCATCCACAAGTGGTTATCGCGGAAAGGGTCGATTCGATAACCTCCTGCGAGCACGTATATCGCGACAGAAACGTAGAGCTTAGCCTCTCAGAAATTCGCTCGCCAGGCGTCTATGTGTTTCCTGTCGGACACACAAATGTGCCCCGTCACGATCGATAAGACACATGTTCTTTCGGCGGAAATGAACGTGGCCGATGTATTAGGCATCTGAAGTATTTATGCGATATAGACACGGGCGGGTGCTGCGCGAGGCGTGCCGGGTATCCGAAATATTCGGCGTACTTTGCGGAACCGAGTGTGCACTAGGTAACGATGCACCGGGTAAACCCGTAGGGACTGCGGTCGGAAGATCCCTTTATAGGGCCAATTTTGGTCCTTTGGACTCCGACTGTCACTAGAATTCACTGATTGTGAAATTTACCGAAATTCTATTGTCCTCCAACGTGGAGTAAATTTAGATCGACGATCTTCATTGACCTCGCGGCCCAACAAAATTCGCTGTGTTTATTTCGTTGCACCGCAACGTGAAACTGTAATTTTCATCAGTTCAGGTTCCTAACATTCGACCACTTCCTGCCTGGAAGTCTGGAACGTGAAGCGAAGATCTGTGATTTTCATTGATCCGGATTCGACAACCTAAAATTCATTGGTAATGAGTCTCTTCCGGTCTTCCGAAACGTGAAACGAACAGAGAGCTGTAATCTTCATTAATCTGGACATTCTATAGCTTAACATTCATCGAGCTCCTACCATTGTTCTCCGACGTGAAACAGAAATCTGCGATCTTCATTGATCCAGTGATTCCGTAACCTCAAATTCGCCGATAATGAATTCCTTTCGTTCTTGTGTAACGTGAATTCAACCGAGATCTCTGAGATTTGTATTAATCTGGAAATTCTGCAGCCTAATATTCATTAACACTAGGTCTTACGAAACACTAATTCGCGTCATACGTCGTATCGTCTCCAATGATCCTTAGAAAATCAGGTGTTCTCGATAAAACTTCTCTGAAAGGCATGCATGGATAAACACACAATTGACATGTAATTTTACAATCGACGTACCAATCGACTCCTGTAAAGATTGATATCCGGATATGAAGCTGTTCGATTTCACGTTGCGGCAGCGTAGTCGGCGTTTTGTCGCTTAACCTGACTTTGCTGGTTCCGCTTGCTCTACTCATTGCCGCATGCGCGAACAATGGATACAGACACTCCCCGCGAAATCCTAAACCGTTTTTACGAAATCGAACACTATACTTAAAAATTCCGTACCAATCGTTTTACGAGACATTAACGAAACAATATTTACATCGGTCGCGAAACAACCGAAACAAACCGAATTCACAATCAGATGGCGTTTTGTAATTCTGTTCTGCGAGAAGTGGCGCTGCGCACGCGCGTTACGGATTACGAGCGATTGCAGATTACAAATTACAGCGTTCTACAGTAGCCATGCGAACTATAACGAACGGTAAAACAATAATTACCACGGGTAGCTCCCTTGTAAACATGCCGAGATAACTGGAGAGACACTCGCGTCGGTCGGTGAAAGTACCGCGCCTGCGCAGATACGTCGAACC